AGTAAAACACGTCGTACAGAATTTTATTTTTTTTTCCTCTTTAAGCTCCTGTTAAGACCCTTTTAGAGGGCACGTGGATTGCCAATACACGCTCCATGTAAAGGGATCGGCGAGGTCTGGAACGGACAGCTGCATCCCAGCTGTTTCCACGACAGCAGTAGATGCGCGGAATATCTATCTACGCTCCACGCTCTACGCACCGTGACCTTTGGGTTTGACACCGCCTGGAGCGGACAGACGCGTCCCAGTGCGTTGTCTGTCTTCTCTTCGGTGGGCGCGTGGAATGCTGATCCACGCACCACACGCCGTGTAATATGGCCTTTGAGTTTGACGCCGTCTGGAGCGGACAGGCGCGTCCTAGTCTGTAGTTTGTCTCTTCGATGGGCGCGCGGAATGCCGATCTACGCTCCATGCGCCGCTCTATGTAACATAGCCTTTATTGTACGGCCACATGTGCAGTCTCTTCTCATTAAATTATTATATAATGTAGTAGATAAAAATGTCGATGTTTTTTTTTTCACATTTGCGTCTTTTAATAAAAAGGAATTGTTCTGGAAAAAAGTTACTGCGATATTTGAAATGGCCGGTCTTCCAAACTAAACTTTGAAGAAACGTATTACGTGGCATAGGGACTTTTTTAAATTTAACCTTCATTCTGTAAGTGAGTATTTTATCAGCTGTGAGATATTATCAAGCCAAGTCCAAACAAAAACACACTTAATTTTTAATCTTCGAAACAACTGTTATTGTTCTTGTTATCAGTTCGAGGTACCTTAAGTGCATCAATTGACATATATAAGATAGGCAAACCTTTGTTGTATTGTTAATTTACAAGTCCTCTTTTTTCAAGAAACAACATGAATAAGCTTTTGCCGTTACTTTTAGGTAAGACAATTTATTTTATTTATTTTTTGTTGTTTGTACCTAAGAGGACTGTGAAGAAAATAATTTTGATTCATTTTACTGCAGTCGCTTTCATGGTTCAATCCTGGAGTTATGCCCAGGATTGTCCGGTATGTACGGCACAGTACCAACCTGTTTGTGGCGTTAATGGAAAAGGTCACAAAAGAACTTTCTCAAATGCATGTGTATTGGGCCAAACCAATTGTGCGGAAAACCAGGGTGAGTATTAAAACAAAAATAAACTTAAATATACGTATGTATGATAATTAGCACAATTACAGTTTACAAATTAAGTTTAAGTACGCTACTTGTATATAATAAGCAAAAGAGATTTACTACAAGAAAAATGACATTTACCAAATAAATTTCAAAGCTAACCTTTTCTTTTCCGCCGCACCCACTGTCCATGTTTCGAACCCGTATAGCGCCGTGCTCCAAACATACCCCATTAACAACCTTTTTCGAATTTCTAAAGTAACCGTTCGCGAGCATAGAAATGACTTCTTTTTATTGAAGGCGACTCGATCCGTACTACTCCGTCCGTCCTGACCTATCTAACCTCCTAGATACCTAAAATGGACACCTTTTCTAATTTTTCTTTCTCTACTTTTTCTTTCCTTGCATACCAGTATTTTTGTTTTACTTTTATTTATTTTTATACAGTACCGTTTTGTGAATACCGCTTCCATTTTATTTAAAGCTATCTCTAACTCCTCCTTGTTAGGTGCTAATGCTGCTATATTATCTGCAAATGTAAGCATACTAATCTTTTGCCCCTGTATATCTATCCCTACAGTTGTACATACAAATGATTGTGTGCGTGCCTTTATTTGACTCTGCAGTCAAAACTACGACGAGTAGTATTTGTGTGTGATAGTAGCCCCAAGCTTCCGATCGTGCACTATGGGGATTGCGTGTTGGTAGTTACGAGTCAGTAAGGTATGGAGGTTGAAAATATACCATATATCAGTCAAATTATCGTAGTGAATTCTCGGCTTAAATTTGTTTTTACATATGTAGTTCAGTTTATAGAAATATTAGGTTAAAACTCAACGTGGTAAATAGAGTACAAAGTCAAAAGATAATTGAGCAGAGCAACTAAAAGTTACAAATTGTTTTCAAAAAAACATAGATACCATAATACAAATGAGACAAGTCATGTACATGCATGCAATAGAGTTTTCGAATTACGTACTGTGCGAATCAACGAGTGCGAATTATCATATTTGGTCTAAAAATATTTACAAAATGTCAAATAACTTATCCACTTTGCATAAATATACCTACGAAAGGTACTTCAAAATTATGTTATGCATGTAGAAAGTTCAAATAATATATATTATGAGACATTTCAATATATTAAAGTCAATTAATGTTTGAACTAAATTATCACGGCGGTGGTGAGCACGCGGAATGCCGATCCACGCGCTATGAAACATGACCTTTGAGTTTGAAGCCGCCTGCAGCAGATAGGTGCGTCTTAGTCTGTTGTCTGTCTTCTATTCGGTAGCGCGTGGAATGCCGATCCACACCACGCGCCGTGTAACTTGGCCTTTGAGTTTGACGCGGCCTGGAGCTGACAGGTGCGTCTTAGTCTGTTGTCTGTCATCTCTTCGGTGAGCACGTGAAGTGCCGATCCACGCTCTACGCGCCGTGTAAAATGACCTTTGGGTTTGATGCGGCCTACAGCGGACAGGCGCGTCCTAGTCCGTTGTCTGTCATCTCTTACCACCATAATACAAATGAGATAAGTCATGTACATGCATACAATAGAATTTTCAAATTACATACTGTGAGAACCAACGAGTGGGAATTAACCTCCATATAGTGGAACTTAAGAGGAATAACAAAATGTCAGCAAGTAGTTTTTACCAAATTTATGATTATTTGCCCACTTTGTAGATCTATAACTGCATCACTTACCGACATTTTGCTAAAAAAAAATGATTTGAATCTCTTATAATGTTCGAGATTTTTCCGGCTTACGAATTAATTACCAAATACCCGTTTTGAATACCTGAGAATGAAAACCCAGCGAAGCGGGTTGTCGCTAACTATAATACTGAAAGTTATTAAGAAAGGCCATGTCACAAATAAAAAAATTTAATTTTCATTATTACTCTTACAATTTACCATCTAGGAGCGCATTTAGTACTTTAGAACAACATCTGTAAAAGTATTAATAGTTCTATATTATTGATTAGTATTTAATATGAGAACCCTTTTTAAAATAGTACAAAATCTTTTAATTAGTTGGTTTAGATGTGGGTTAGATTTAATTCTAATTGCCTAAGCTAGCCCGTAGGAAAAATTTCCATTCAATTTCCATTAAAAAAACGCCATTTAATTACCACTTATAATAATTAATGGTAATAAATGGAGAATTGCCAATGGGATGAATGGGATTTCCATTGCTGAACGCAATGGCATTACCGTTGCTGAACGCAATGGAAATTCCATTGCGTTCCATTGGAACTTCATTAGCATGCTTTTTTCCATACTCCATATTATTTTGTTGAGAATTTGGTTCTTTAGGTACCTGAACCAAGGCACTTGCCTGGATGTCTGACTCTTCATCATTTGTGTTTAGATTTTTTTTTCATTTGCTTCTGATAAAACCATATCACTCTCAAAGATGACTTCCGCCTCCTCTATATTTTGACATGGTTCAAAATCATCAAACATTGCTTCTAATGTAGGCTTTTTCACTTGTCTAGGGGTTGTTTAATAAAAGGCTTCGGGTAGTTGAATACGTATATAATAAGCATAATAATGAATATAAATAGCAAACAACAAAACGAGTAACAAACAGGAACTAAATATATATAACTTCGTGTAATCACCATAAATACGTCTTCCGTCTTTTTTAAGCAAAAATGCTCAATGTCTAAATGAAATAGACCGTTTTAATCAAACGTCTTACTACCTTGCTTGTCTCTCACTCTACTGCCGTGATGGTCCCTCACGTACCCCCAACATGCACGCATAGGTAAAACTAGATTATTGATTTTTCACTACCTAATTGGCAATATTACTACTCTTGAACCTGGGCAAGCAAAAACTGTATCGAAAAAGGCTAATAGTATATGTGGCCAGGAATTATATTGTAAATGGAAACAATTATTTTTCCATTTATGCCAAATGGCTTTGAATGGAACTTACAAATCTTCCATTGATTCCCATTGAAGTTCAATGGAGATTTTTTCTACGGAAGGGAAAGAAATGGTTTCCTCACCTAATATTGTATATACATTTTTAATTAACACGGTGAGCTGAACAGCATACTAAAATTTCAAGTAAATCAATTGTTAAGTGCCCGTTTTGAATAACTAAGAATAAGTACCCAGTAAAGGCGGTTGTCGCTAACTATAACTAGCTATTAAGATAAGCCATGTTGTCACGAATGGTCAAATTTAATTCTCATTATTCTACTCCTACAACTTACCATCTAAAAAGGCATTTAGTATTTAAGAGCAGANCTGCTTGTATATAATAAGCAAAAGGAATTTACTACAAGAAAAATGACATTTACCAAATAAATTTCAAAGCTTACTAACCCTTAAGAAAAATTTCCATTAAACTTCAATGGGAATCAATAGAAAATATGTTAATTCCATTCAAAACCATTTGACATAAATGTTACTTCTAACGGGTGGCAGTTATCTTGTAAGATAGTTCAGATTTTGTAAAAAAAAAACACGTGTAAATTTTTGTCTACTGTATTACATAATAATTTAATGAGAGGTGTCTGCAGACATAGCCTTGGCCGGCGCGTTGAGAATGAATTCTGTGTGCCTGGTACCGCCGCGGAATAAAGGTAACGAACGCGCTAGAACGCATTTGTTCGCTTCAGGTCGAACCAAACCAGTTACATGGAGCGTCGATTGGCAATCCATGCGTCATGTAAAGCCTTGCTACTCGTGGTTTTATTAAATATTCAATTTTTTTCTCATTTATTATATAGTTAAGTACGTATTGTCGTTGTTACTGCTGTCACTTCCCATAGCTTAGTGGTAGAGCAATGGTGCGTAAAACCAAGGAATGCCGATCTATACTCCACGTGCCGTGTAACCTGACCTTTGAGAATGACGCAGCTTGGAGCGGACCGACGCGTCCTTGTGCGTTGTCTGTCTTCTCTTCGGTGGGCGCGTGGATTGCCGATCTACGCTCCATGCGTCGCTCCATGTAACATAGCCTTTACTGTACAGCCACATGTGCAGTCACTTCTCATTAAATTATTATATAATGTAGTAGATAAAAATAATGTTTTTTTTGTAGATTTGTAACTGCCACGTGAAACAAATATCGGCAGTAAAACATTGCCTCTAAGTTTATTTGGAATAATAAAATGCATTCAAATTAGCAGAACAATGAAATTAATGTTTACGTAATAAAAAAGAATTGCTTTGGAAAAAAGTTACCGCGATATTTGAAATGGCCGGTCTTCCAAACTGAAAATGCTTTGAAGATACGTATTATTTGACATAGAGGCTTTTTTTAAATTTAACCTTCATTGTGTAACTGAGTATTTTATCAGCTACAAGGTATGATAAAGTCAAGTTAACGAAATTTTTATTTATTTTTAATCTTCCAGACAGCATTTTTATTATCAATTCAAAAAGTCAACTCGAATTCGCGACAATGGTTAATATATAATTGGGTATATTGTGTATATGCGTCGTAATATTGTTGAATGCACATTTATATTAATTAGGATTTTTCATAGTAAAACGCGTCGTACAGAATTTTTCTCGGTTTATTTTCGAATGCGTATTTTAAGCTCCTGTTAAGCCCCTTTTAGAGGGCACGTGGATTGCCAATACACGCTCCATGTAAAGGGTTCGGCGAAGACTGGAGCAGACAACTGCATCCCAGCTGTTTCCACGGCAGCAGTAGGTGCGCGGAATATCTATCTACGCTCCACGCTCTACGCACCGTGTAACATGACCTTTGGGTTTGACACCGCCTGGAGCGGACAGACGCGTCCTAGTGCGTTGTCTGTCTTCTCTTCGGTGGGCGCGTGGAATGCCGATCGACGCACCACGCGCCGTGTAATATGGCCTTTGAGTTTAACGCCGTCTGGAGCGGACAGGCGCGTCCTAGTCTGTAGTTTGTCTCTTCGATGGGCGCGCGGAATGCCGATCTACGCTCCATGCGCCGCTCTATGTAACATAGCCTCTATTGTACGGCCACATGTGCAGTCTCTTCTCATTAAATTA